TTCCTGATAGGCCTTCACAGTTACTGTAATGGTCACTGGGTGCAGAAAGTCCCTTCATGCTTCACCCTTTAAGGCTAAATCCCCTACTTGAACTCTTATTGTGCTTCATGTCATGGACGAGGGGTTGGATTTTAGAACACCTATAGGCATTATGGGAAGTAACTATACAAAAAGAATGGGGTGGGGGTGGAATAATGCATATTTGCAAAATATTACATTTGAAAGTAAAAAAAAATGAAAGTAACTTAATTCTGGATTTTACAAACAACATAAAAAACATACTTTATTTTGATAGTGGTATGCTATAATGCATTTTAATAATGCTTAAGAAATCATGTCTACTTACCCTTCTTCGTTCTAACATTTTTACTACAAGCATATTGTTAACTTTTATTAGTTTGATATGGAATGAAAAAAAGTTTAATAAGGATAGAGTTGTATGAGATTTTGCTGATTCAAAATAATATATTATTGGCTCACTTTGCACAAGGATATTGTATATAAAATAATGAATAATTTTATACCAATCATAACATTATCCTCCTCTACCTCTAACAAGTAGAGTGTCATGAGCTGTTAAGTTTATTGTTACATTGTACAGTGATCTTTGTGCTTGATCATTTAAATGTAGTTGGGTTTTTTCTGTTTACCACCACATGATTGATCACATCAATATAGTTAGGTTCATATTGTCTATTTATGTTGCATTTTGCACAAAGCTACTCAAGGGCTATCAGTCCTTAACTTTGAAGTGATAGACTAGAGTTAAGGCAACTAGTCAACACCACCAACTTTTGGGCTGCTCTTTACCAATGAATAGTGATATTGACTGTCACATTATAACATTGTTATGGCTGAAAGGGCAAGTATATACGTTCAGGGATGGGATTCAAATCTTCTACCCTCAGGTTGTGAATCAAATGCCCTAACAACCAGGCTAGACCAGACCCACGTGTGTAAATAAAATTCTAACCATGATCCCAAGAACAAAGCAAATATAACTTGTAACTAATAATCTCGCTAGTTACTGCTATATTTAGGATTTTTCTGATTTATATCCAGTGTCAGGTAATGTTTCTTTTCATTAACAAAAACTCAGTAGTTTTAGTAGTGTTGTGGAAACGTGTTGAAAGAATCTCATGGAATGCTATTGTATTTTTAGCTTGTTACAGGTTTCGTATTATGTTGAATGTGTGATACATTTTCAAGTACAACAATTTAGGATTGAAAAAGTAATTATAAAATCACATGAATGAAAGCAAAGAAGAATATATATATGTCAATCACACTACATTTGCTATATCCAGTGCTTGCAAGGCCTTTCTCAGTTCCAGGGGCTCAAAAGGCCAGACAGAGTATTTTTTTTTACATCACTGTTGCCAGATTTATTTATTTTTTCACTTCGCATTTATTTGAGGCACAAGTTTTTAAGTCAGGTTTATATATTAATTTGAACTATTTCAATAACTTTTAACTCAAAAATATTGGGTACTTGGTATTTTGGCATTTCAACATTTATTCAGTGTTAATTCATGAAGAAAAATGAAATCCATTTTCATTTCTGTATAGCTTTGAGATGTTTCTCTGTAAACAATGCACTTGTTGATTAAAAAAAAATACTGCCCATTCCAAAGAATAGCTTTATTTTTGAAAAAAAAATTATATCACATTGAGAATATGTTATCCAATTCTTGATTTTCAAGTGTTTCCCTTGCCTTTTTTTGCTTAGTTTTTGTGTATAAAAGTCTTGGTTTTGTCACCCTTTTATGACATCACATAAGGAAACAAATGACAGAGCTGGGAATATTGTTAAGAGTTCCTTATACTTTTTCATTCATGAAAGTGCCTGTGTGTTATATCTGTTGGAAAGTTACTGAAATATTCTTAGAGAAATCATCAGATAATGTAAGCTTATTAAGTCTAGAGATGAACTGGTAATGAAAATTTTATTGCAAGCCCAACAGTAACAAGTACTTTACCTAAACACAAATATATATATATATATATACACTCATGACAAAACAAGAAACAAAGAATTCACATGACTGGAGATAGCTTAATAAAGATTTCTTGGTATCCTAGGATGCTGGTTTTAGAGGGTTGTATAATATAATAATAAATTAGTAGTCTTAACTACTTAGTTGAATGTAATCAATTAATGAGACAAACAGTTACTTGATAAGCACATTTTGCTAATCACCCAGATCTATACATTAAATATGTTACCATATTATTTTTATTATATTGTAGCAGTGATTTGCTAGTCAGTATTTTTTTTTCTACATTTGCTTGAATCTTTTAGTATGGAAAATTGTAGTTAAGTATGAGAGTATATTTATAAAAATGAATAAGTTTGTGTCATTGGCAATGACAAAGGTTTGAGCTATGTACATCTAAGCTATTTAGTGATTGGAAAGTATGAACAATAATGGAAAATAACACCTTTGTGAGAAATTTGATAAGCTAGAAAAAGACCAAAGTATCATTTTTTTTAAATCTGTGTGTTTTTTATTATGAAAAAAAAATCTAAGAAAGTAAGAAAAACTATAATACTACTTACTTCTCTAAATTGTGCATGTTAACGGTATTTACGACATTGCTTTAATTTAACCCTATCAGAACAGTGGATCACCTTTCAGAAAAATGAAAAAAATTATGTGCAGCTATGAGGAGTCTTGCCTGTAAATAATGCACTTACAAATTTTATTTAGAATTTTTCTGAGTATTCCAAAATTAGGATTGTTTGATAAGAATGTATCATCCCTTCACAATACAATTAGCCACATCTTGTCTCTCAAGTGATTTTCCTTCTCTGTTTGAGATTTTACTATTACATCTCCTGTTCCCCATTTATGATCAGAATAATTTTATTGAAGCCCAGTTTTGAAAATAGCTACAAGCAAAGATAAAAAATATTGGATAGAGTAGGTTATAATTTAACAAGGTGGTGTGAGTAGTAACTTATGGTTTCTTGAGAAAGTGACTAGGTGGAGCTCTTGAAGGGATGAACAGGGGAATATAATGAAACACTTTGAAGACTTAGGCACAAACCACAGATCTGGGAATTTTTCATAGGTTTTTTAGATATTATTTTCATTCTATAAAAGTTTGTTAAATTATATTTCTGTACAATTAAAGTAATGTTTTTTGTATCTGAATTATGTTATTATTGTTTGTTGAAAAGATTTTGTATTACAATTATTTGTCTTGTAAATGTCTTGTAGAGAGGGCAATCTTTGCATTTAGTGTTGTTTGGTAAAAAATCTGATGCAAACTGTTTGTATTAGCATCGTTTGGTAAGAAGAAATCTGATTTCATGAAATCTTTTGTAATCAGTTTGATTAAGAGTTAGATATGTAATACAGTAAATAAAGTTTTTGGAAGTTTTGCTGTCTCTTTGTTGAGTCAGTCAAGAGTCTGGTATATGAGAAACAAATACGTAGTTAATCCTGAGCCTGATTAGGAAAATGAACTACTTAGTACAAGTGGCTAATAAACAAGTTATTCAAATCAATGCAAAGAATGTTTATTATTGTTTTAAATAGACCAGTGTAACAATATATTTTTGAAAGGTATTGAAATTTTCTACTGTGGCAAGGCATCAGGTAAACTTAGTTCGGTTTAACAGGTATAGTAGATAATGGCAAAATATTCTTATGACACAAATTCATGTTTATTGAATATTGTTGTTAAGTTTATTATATTCAAACAAACCTCATAAATAAAGAACTTGTTATTTATTGAAAAGAAACTATATTTATTGGATACAAATTGATCTCAACCAATAATTTTTGCAAAAGTATTGTTACACAGTCCAACAAACATAAAGGTGACAATATATGAAAGGTCAATTAGTTTTTGTCATGTATTTGTGATGATTGCAATTGAAAAAATAAAGTATGAAAGAGATATGTTAATGAATGACAGTCAAGGTGAAATGGACTGGATATATATGTAATGGAACTTTCTGATCAACAATAAAAAAATCAAATTCTAAGGTTCAAGGTAATATTTTTGATGTTTTTTTTTTTTTGCAACTGTATCTCACAACAAAAATTTGGTAAATTTAGAATGTAAAAAAAAGTTAAATGAAATATAATTATATGTAGTTTTTTATGACTAAACTATATATTGCTTACTTTGTGTGAGGTTTCTTGTAATTTGGTTTAGTATTTGCACTGTGAGAGGCAAAATAATATCAATATTGTTGACACCCTCTGGTTTGGAAAAGTTTAATTGAAAATATCATTTGCTTTATACCTTTTACTTCATGGTTTTATTTTCCACAATTGAGATTTTTGCTCTGTTATACAGCTGGAAAGAAACTGTGTTATAATTTGTAAATTCACATAACATGAAAATGCTATTGTCCTTCTCTACCACACATGGTGTCCTGTATATCAAAAAATATACTTCCCACTTAAGCTAATTATTCATACACATTACTATTAAGTTGTATATTGATATTAATAATTTAACACCCAATAAGCTTAATTTTACATGTTTCAGGTGCAAATGACTACATTTAACATTTCAATCATCAATTTCTCAGACTTACCTGTAAAAAACAGCAAATCTTTGTGTTTTTGAGAGTTTTATGATAACTTCCCATATGCCTGTGATTATTTCAAAACTCTGAATTAAGATTTTCTAATTAGAATGTTTCAGTGTTCAAACCCTTTCAAATCCATACAGTTTTCAGAGTTCAAAATGTTATTGTTTGAATTAATTTTCTGATAAAAACAAAAGTGAATATGTTTAATGCTATAACGTTCTTTGAACATTCCCACACATTTGAAACATAATTTTTAAAATATATTATTAGATAAGGATTTAATCTCTTTCTGATCACTGGGTAAACACTTTCAACATTAAAGAAGCCAATAGGATACAGTACTTTGTGTACTTGGATTTTATTAAAGACTTGCCCAAAGTTTTAAATCAGATTTATTGCGTTTAATTAGTGTACAACATATGTTCTTCCATTCATTTTGTTTTAGATCTTGACTATATTCAGCCTTCTTTTGAAATAGGCATCATTGAAGTAAAGTTTACAGAAGATAGTGATGGTTATGTGACTCTCACAGCTTATCCACCACAAAAGGTTTATCATCAGGGACTTTCATTAAGTGATGGTGAGCTGTATCGAGAAAAGCATGGAAAGAATCGATTGCAGCACAGGTAAACTCATAGCATCATAGATATTCATTTATGTAAAATACAAGTCAAATATTTGATAATTTAGAAGGCAGAACTTGTTCACTATATTTTTAGGCACAGGTAAAACTGCCTTTTTTAAAAAATAGTAAAATATATTTTGTGTGTTTTCTTCTTTTATAACCACATATAGAAAAACAAGAGAAAAACCTAGAAGAATATAGTTTTGGAGAGTGATGAATCTCCACTTATTGAAAAGTCTTATAAATTTAGTAAGAGTTGTTCACAAAATTTTACAAAGAATAAAGTTTATAACTATCTTATCAAGTATTCATAATCAGTGTGAAAGGTTATTTTATAAATCTGCTGATGCACCTTATGGCCTGCATGTTTTATGTATTTCCTGATGCTTTTAACTTATTTAGTTTGGGTAATTTGTGTGAATGGATATTGTTTTAAATCTATATTTACAAATTCCTGTACTTTAGTAATTTTTGTCTTTGTTTCAACTAACCAATGTTGAAATGAGCTATTGCTGTTGCATATTGAATAGGAAGCTTACTCTGGCAGTATGGTTTATTTTATCTTCTAACTGTCAAACCCATTTAAATTAATTTTTTTCATACAGTGTATGTCAGTTTGACCCACCTTGGAAGTGTGAAACTATACACATTATAACTCTGAATTTACCAGTGTATCTAGGTGTATCTTTGCAATACTTAGCAGGTTTTTATTTAACATTGTAAGTTTTTTTCATTATGTATTTCTACTAAAGGTTTTTTCTGTGGATTTATGAAACCTTTACTGATTTGGTCTGACTGAAAGGTGATTTTCTTGTTAAGAATAGAGATAGTTCTTTTTAATCTTACAATTTTCAAGTTTCATTAGCATAACTTCTAGATCACTTCTATGAATTTCAAATCATTGTTTTATTCTTGTTTAAAGTCTGCATCTTGTTATTTTCTCTACACTAACACAATTATCAAATTCATCAATATAGTGGAATGAAAGTTTAAAAAAAATGAATGTCAAGTTTTGTAAGGCTGGGTTATTTTACATATTGGTGACTTGTTGGCAATCAATTTCAGCTATAAACAAACAGCAATGCAGTCCATTTGATTTTAAAATAATATGTTAAAAACAAATCAGATGTAAAGACAAATGTTCATTACATTGTTGGTTACCACAGTTCTATCCAGAGCTTTAAATAATTATTTCTTTTTATTTGTAAAAAGTCCATATGGGCTGGTTCAGTTACCGTGGAATGCAACTGACAAGACAAACTTTAAACTTCATCACTATACCATCTTTATCACTAAACTCATGATCATGCAGTCTATAACTATAATTCTGTAATGACTCTATATGAGTATTTATATCTTGACAGAAGTCTAGAACATTCCATGCAATACCAATGAGAAACTCAGAAAGTTCTAGCAACATGACAAATAATCTCACTTTTGTAAACAATCACTAATTCATAACATTTGAACTACACAACATATGATTCATAAAACAGTTACATAAGGAAACTTACTATAAAATAACACTTCAAAAAATAAATAAATATGACACTCACACTATAAAAAACTATCTAAATCATAATGCTCGCATTCAACTTAAACTGAAACAATCATGTACATCTAACAATAAGGCCCTCTTCAAGAAAAATAATCTTTTTTTTACTATATACAAAGACTTTTCTCAGTTCATGCTCACAGTCTATTCCTACAATCTGCACCAACATTTGCAGTCCTCTTGACGGCCTCAGTGCAGAACCATTAGTTCTGGAGATACAATGCGCACTCCATGATTTTCACACTGTCAATTTTACACCTCTGGATGTATGCAAGTGGTTGATGGTCCATCTGTATGATGAATTCTTTTTCTTGTAGAGGTAGTTCTGGAATTTCTGGATGGAAGATATGATGGCCAGCCACTCGTTCAATCACAGAGTTTTTTGTTTTTTTTAACTACTAAACAGCTTTTTACTGACGTACATTATGAGAAACAGTTCATCTTCATGTTCTTGCAGAAGTATTGCTCCAATTCCAACCTCTGACACATCAGCCTGAATGATAAACAGTTTGTTGGAGTCTGGGATTCTAATGACTGGCGAACCTCCTAACTTGATCTTTTCAATTTCTGGAATGCCATCTGCTGTGGTTGTTCTCACTTCACCGTGTTGGGTTGGCCTTTCCTGGTCAGGTCAGTCAGTGGTGCAATGACTTCAGCATAGTTTCGGATGACGTTCCTATAGTATCCTGCTGACCCCAGCTTTGTCAGCAGAGCTGGTGCATATTGTATGTGGGTTAGCTTCTCCTCTTCCATGGGTATCTTTCGGTCACCCACCTTCTGTCTAACAAATTCCAGCACAGAATAGCCAATATAGCACTTAGATGGTCTGATGGTCAGACCTGCTCCCTTTGTTTGCCCAAATGGCTCTCTGAGTTTCTTCAGGTAGTTTTCCCATCTAGCTGTGTGGATCAGAATGTCATCCACATAATGCTTGATGTTGGTGGTTTAGGGCAAAATCATCCTCATCATGCAGTTGAATATCGATGCTGAGTTGACTAACCCAAACAGCATAGTTTTGAACTGATAGCATATCTTCTTCCCCTGTCCCCAGTTCTTTCAATATCTGCATTGGGCCTTCTATTGTTCTTCCTACAGTAACTCAAAGAGTGAAAATCCTGTACTCACCTGTGAGACTTCTCGATAAGCATATAATACTGTCTGCAGGTACCTATCCCAGTCACGTGGTCTCTCCTGGTACATCTTCTTCAGCATGCTCTTTAAGACCCCCATTGACTTTCTCACAAAGTCCATTACATATGGGGTTTATGGGGAGGCAAAGAGCTGCCTAGTACTGATGAGTATGCACACATCTTGCTTCAGTTCTTAGGTAAACTGGGTCTCGCCTAGTAGCAGAATGACCACCTTTCCTCTAGGTATTGTCCTTTGACAGATGTCACATGGCCTGCAGAATCTGGTCACATCTCCAATGACCCCTGGCCAGTGGAAGTTGCTGGTGATTCTGCCTACCATCTTCTTCTCTCCTATGTGTCCTCCCACAATCGACTCATGAGGCAACTTCATCACGTGAGTCCAGTATTCTGTTGCAACTATGATCTGTTTAACTTCTTTAGTAGAACTGCCTTGATAGATCTAGTACAGCATTCCCTTACAGTCTTCTATTCTATACGTCCCTTTTCTCGACTTTCTCCAAGGCACTGTCCCAAAGTTTCTGTAGTCAAGGGTCTTCTGTGCTTCTTTCAGTTCCCATAGACCTACATTTGGGATGTCAACCCTTTGAGACTTGCAGAGGCTTGATGTCTTGCTTGCTTTTCTTCTCTTGAGCTCTAGTGGTGACTGCAGATGCCTCATCAGTCTTCTTTCTGTCTGGTTCTTCCAAACTTCTACTGCCTGGTATATTTCCAATCACCAAGTTGTAGATGGGTACCTTCATATACATGGCTTCAAGGTCTCCCACATAATATGGAGTGTCCACCTTTATTCTTGCTATGGGAAATTTTTCCACTGTCCCATGAATCATTAAACACAGATGTACTTTGACTATCATCTGGTCATTAGATACTAGACTGGTTCTCACTGCTGCACCCAATATCTCTTATGACTTTCACTTTCTTGTCCCTGACATAGCCTTCACCTACTAGCATGTTGTGGTTTGTTGGCACATCTTGATGTTTGTCACATGCTCCAATCACCACTGGTGCTGCTGACCCATTCGCTAACTTGAACTGACCATCAATCATGCACTGTTTAATCATGGTAACAGCATTTCCTTCTTGTTGTGAATCTGACAAGTTGTCTACATTCCATTTCTTCTGGCAGCATCACCCATTTTAACATTCACTCGTTTCTTGCTTATTGCCAGCACCATCTTTGTGAGTAGCTCCAGCTGCTTTATTTTGAGATTTCTGCTGCTGCTCGTTAGTGACAGACTTGCACTCACTCACAACATGTCACATTTTATGACAAGCAAAGCATTTCTTCTCCCTTTTGTCTGTTGACTTCTTGCCACCTTTGGTGGTATCCTGCTTCATCAAACCCTGATTATTCTTGGACTTGCCAGTTATACTCCCTCCATGGGCTTCCATATACTGTTCTGACAGCTTGATGATCTCATTCACTTCTTTCAGTGGTCTCTCCTTTAGGAACAGTGACATGTCAATGGAGCATGTAATCATGAACTCTTCACATATTAGTAGATCTGCCACTATACACTCTTTATCACTAAACTCATGATCATGCAGTCTAGAACTAGAACTCATTAATAATTTTTCGACAAGTATTTATGCTCTGACAGAAGTCTAGAACATTCCATGCAATACTAGATATTCTGATGCCATAATACTAAATTAAACCAATGAGAAACTCAAAGTTCTAGCAACATGACAAATAATCTTACTATTGTAAACAATCACTAATTCATAACAATTGAATTACACAACATATGGTTCATAAAACAGTTAAGTAAACAAACCATTAAATATTTCTTCTAAAAATAACTAAATATGACAGTTGCACTATATAAACTATCTAAATCGTAATGCTGACATTAAACTTAAACAATGAATAATACCCTTTTTATTCTTGTAATATGTCTTTTGTTGCCAGATCTTTAATTATCTTCACATTTTCAATTGTTAGTCTTTTAACATCTGATTTCTCTTAAGCTTATTGCGTTACTGCTGGACTTTATTCTAGTTAGCTTTTATTACTCTGTGAAAAGCAATAAATGACAGCAAAAAATCCATATCTACTTCTCTCTACAGATAAAATAAGTAAACTGATATAGTTACGCAGTTTTAGCTCATGATCTTGTAAACTATTTTTTTTTTACCTAACCATAGAAGTTTCTAATTTTTTCATTTTAGTTACTTTTGTTAAAAAATTTATAGCAACAAACAAAAATATACATAAAACTAGAAATTTAGCATATATTTAAGCATTGAGGCCATTTGCATTTGGATGTTATGCTGCATTAACTCTGTTTTTGTCTTACTATG